GAAGAAAGATGCTGTGCATGGGACAGTAGTTTGTATGGGAGGGATGACATAAGGCGTTTTATGATGGATAAGTATAGACGAGACATAAAGGGAGTGTGGGGAAGAGATAAAATGGTAATTGGGAATTGGAATAGGAGGGTGTGTGAGGAAAGTCTCTTGGAGGCAGATAATAGATGGATTATAAGAAGCAAGGAAATGACATAAGTCTGGTCTATGAGAACGGAAACCACGAATATTCCAATGTAGGAGAGCTATAGCTTATGAGTGATATCGCATACGGTACGTATTGGGGAATCTGGGGGAGAAGGAGCTACGGTGTGTGAAGGAGGGGTATTAGGAGGTAGGGAATTTGGGAAGGGCATTGTTGTGACACGAGTGATTCTCGGGAGTGCAAAAAACAGAGGGGATGGAGGAAGGGAGAATGTGCCTATAGTTGGGGTTGAAGGGGGTGGGTTGTGTTGGGAGGGAGTAGATGTGGGGGGAGTATTAGTGGTAGGAGGGTGGATATCGGAAGGATGGATATCGGAGGTGGATGGGATTGAGGGGGTTAGGTTGTGTTGAGAGGGAGTAGGAGGAAGGGGTGTAGGGGGAATATTAGGAGGAGGGGTATGAATATCGGCAACCACTTTCAAGTGTGGAAGGAGCATGAGTTATGGGATCTTGTGTCTTAAGCATACAACTTTGGATGTCATCCATTGTTTCTGCAATGGAATTGGTTGGAGAGTTTTGTGATAAGGTAATTGTTTCTGCAATGGAGTTGGTTGGAGAATTTTGTGGGATAAAGGTTTTCTTATGAGGGGGGGGAAGGGGAGACTGGTGTCTCAGGAATAAAGGTAAAGGTAGGTGGAGGCGATTGTGCTGTAGGGGAAGAAGGGTTAGAACGTTTAGTCTGTCTACTGCGGGTAGTACGGGGAGGAGAGGGGTGGTGTTGGGGCTGTAGTTGAGACTGGATCTGTGGTTGAGATTGGGGTGTCTGGGTTTAGAGCGGCAAAGGAATTGGTCTGAGGGATCTAGAATGTACAAGTGGAAATGGGGACATCTTGGGGTGGAGGGGGAGGGGTTGAGCGAACAATGTTACTAGAGTATGGAGTATGAGAGAAACCTTGTCGACGTGCTTCCTGTCTGGCTTCACGTAAAGTGAGACCATTCTTGTATCTGAGTTACTACTTCAGATTCAAACTTGTAAGTGGGACAGCCTCTATAAAATACATTATGGGGGCCGCCGCAGTTAGCACATGTTCGTGTTTGTGCTGAGCAGTTTGATCGGTTATGACCACCAGGTTGGGCACATATGGGGCATCGGTCTGTGGAACGGCAATGTTTGGCAGGATGTCCAAAGCGCCAACAGTTTTGACATTAACGGGGAGAGGGTTGGTATGGTCGAACAGGGAGGGATTGTCCACTGATGTAGATACGTAGGGGAAGGTCATGTGTACGGAAGGTAATTTTGGCAATGTTGGTCGGATTCTTTTGATGACCTTTAGGTGGAATAGTGTAGCAATGTACTGATTTCACATCTTGGTCTTTGAGGCATCCTAATACGTCTTCTCCACAGTCTGACCAATCTTTGGTATCGACTGGGCAGTTTGCTGGGGAGAGACAGTTCCGGTACAGGTATTAAGGGCTGGATGAGGTTCTGCAGGAATGGGGTTGCTAGAATGATTAGTTAAATTTGATAGTGCTATAGATTCAGTTTCTGATCTGTTACAAGACGGGAGCGATCGCGTTTGGTATAGAAAGGGACTCTGCCTACTTGTTTTTGGAGGCATTGTTGAAAGAGAAGAGTGTTGCCTGAGTAAGGAGCTGTAGAAGGGATCACGAAAAATCAGTCCCATTTAGCTGGTTTAAACAGAGTATTTAAGATATCTGTAGAGTTGTTGGTGGTGGATGATCGGGGGACGTGTGGAAGAGGGAGTATTACGGAATGATGGAGAATAAGGCAGCAAGGTAGTAATAAGGGAGGATTGGTTGTTTGATGAAGGCTGCGGGGGTAGAGTTGATGAATTTGCGGAAGTTGCATGAATAGGAATGTCTTCTGGAGATTGATTCCCTGCTTGGGTGGGTAATGCACTAGTAGGCATTGAGGAGTGGGTAGTAGTTTCAGTGTTCGGAGCCGTGGTCAAAGGAGAGCATGGGTTGGGGCTATTTGATAAAGGGGCAAGCCTCATTGCCTCTAATAAAGGGATTACATTTTCATTACTGGTCATGGGGAACCTGGATTATATAAAACGGCATAAACGGTCCACCCTCATGCTCTTGAAGGTAAGGGCTAGATTAGTCAGGAGTACCGTACCCATAGTTCCCGCAGGCTGTTCAGGAGTGGCACTAGGTCAGCCTTTCATTCTTTCAGCATGGCTCTTACACCTTAGGAAGTAGATAGAAGGGGTTGGAGAAGGGATGGAAACAAAAAGCTGGAGGGGGAAAAGACCATGCAATATTAGATGAGTCGAGGGATGAGGCCCTAGGCAGGGGAAATACCCACATTGGGTCTTAGTCTCCGGCAAGCCCCCCACGACAACAACGAGCAAGGGATTGGGGCGGCACTGCATCATAGTAAACGAGGCAGTCTACAATCTGACCAAACCTCGTCGTATACATGGCAGTCGGCAAGAACAGTTTCAATACAAGTATTAAGGGAGGAATAGGTTTGTCAGTGAAGTCTTAGGAAAAGATGGGATTCAAATGTAACTGATAAGGCGGGAGCGATTGGAACGGTTGTGGAAACATTGCTGGAAGAGAAAAGCCTTGTCGGAGTAAAGGGTTCTTGAGGGACTCAAAATACTGATCCCATTTGGCTGGGCTGAACAGAGTACTCAAAAGAGGTTTGTAGAGGTGGGGTAGAAGGACGAGGACATATTATAATAGAGGGAGTGGCATTGAGTGAGGTAGTACAATAGGGAGGTTGACAGCAAGGGTTAATAGTAATAAGAGAGGAGGGGCAGCAGATGAAGAAGACTTGGGTGAAGATGGGTAAGTTGAGAGAGAATGTTTTCTAGAGGTTAAGTAATCACCTGGGTAAGCGACTGGACTGAGGTAACAGTAGGCACTGAGATTTGAAATCAGTGGGGCTAGTTGATAAAGGTTCAAGCCTCAGTGCCCCTCATAAGGATACAACTTCATTACTGGCCATGATAAGCCAGGAATCCCCTTGATTAGTTTTGAATGACCTAAAGAGTTTCTAAAAAGGAGTTGGCTGAGGAGGTCTAAAAAATGAAGGTTTTCTTATGAGGGGGAAAACATAAGGCACACGATTGAGGGGCAGAGGAAGAGGTAGAAGATGGGGTGGAACACTTAGATTGTCTGATGCAATGAGCAGAGATTGGGGTGTCAGACTTTAGAAAGGCAAAATAAATTGATTAAGAGAGGGAGGAAATACAAGTGAAAACGTAAGTACGAGGAAAGCATACTGGAGGAGAAGTAGAAACATCTCGAGTAGAAGGGGGAGGGGCTGAGTGAAGGACAGCACTACAGTATAGTAGGTATCAAGACAAATCTTGTCACCGTGCTTCCTACCCGACTACTCATAAAGTAAGACTAAGTTTAAAGCTTAGGACTGCTACTTCAATCTCAATTTGTATGTAGTACAGCCCCTAAAAATACATTTTGGAGCCACCACAACTGGCACATGTGTGACTGCGCAGTACAGTCAGAATGGTTATGGTTAGGTTAGGCACATAGGAGGGCTGCAGACTGTGGAACAACAGTGCTTTCATCCTTTCAACACAGCTCACATCTTAAAAGAGACTGGAGAAGGGGAGGGGGGGGGGGAGAAGGCCATGCATAATAGGTTCAACCGAGGGCAGGTTAAAGCCCCAACATTGGGCCTCAAACTACTTCTCTTAAGGCCCTCCAAGACAACTAAGGGTATGGGATTGGTGGGTAAAATTATACAAGCAAACATCTACAAACAAAATTCAGCACCACAGTCATCTCTTCCTATTTCTTACCCAGCCCCATGGATTACAAAATATAGATCATCAAATCAGTTGGTCAACCAAACAAAAACATTACATAGTTATACACATCTCACTGGTGGGTAAAAACAAGAATCAGCTGTGAGAAAAATGTTGGAGTATTATAAATCTTGCTTCGGCAGTGAAAAACAGCCGTAAAGTAAAGTTGCAAAACTCCAAGGGTACGAAAAGGTTCCCAGATATTTGGTCAGACAACCCCACAGGATGGCCTGATATTTTGGTGATATGTATCTGTACTTTATACAAACACCTGGTGTTTACACACAAAAAGAATTAAAGGCCTACAAATCTCTGGGAGGGTACAAGTACCCAATAATCTTTATAACAAGACTGGTTTGTAGTAATAGGATTAAATTCTCCTGAACTTGTGAAATTCTTTCTTGCTCGCTCTGCCTTTTAGGCCTGGTTTTTCGAAAAGTTGATCAAAACAGATTTTATCAATATTTTCCGTACGTTATAGCCAGACTTTTCTAAGGTGTTTTAAAATCAAATTAATTGAAACTTAAGTGAAAGAAGATACTCATTAGTAACCAGTCAGTCACCCACATTTACCACTGCCTAGGCCTACGCCTAACTACGGGGAAATACATCCCCTAGAAAAAGTTATGACGATATACCATAACCGTTTAAATTTTAGAATATATTTATAGAAAAATTATATGTATCATTAGCACAAACTCTCACATTACTACCAGGTGCCTGGATCAAAGTTCTTGCAATTGATAGCTAAAGCCTCCTCCTCTCTGGGTCTTTCGGAAAACAATTAAAACTCAAAGTTGAACCTTTTTGCTGTCCATTTGCACATCCAATAATAATGCAACTGTTTACCATGTCAAAGATTCTCAGAAAAGGATGAAAAAAGATGTGAATCTAATAAAAATTGTGAAAAAAGTGACGATGTCCGTGGGATTTCGTTGTTTTTGCCCACCAATGCCTCTGATTCATCAGGTGATTACTCTGTTGACATCACGATAACCGCCCCTATTGAACAACAGAAAAGCTATTTGTGATCAAATGAAAAAGGAATGAAATAGAAACTTCTTTATTTAGCTGTACAATTCAAAAACACTGCTCTAAATATACATGATTCCCCAGACATAAATCTAGTACACAAGCTCTAGTGTCTTTCTACACCTGGTAGGCAACAAGGGAGCCCTTTCCAATGCACTCTCCAATGAAGAACCAGCACATCACCTCGACAGCAACCAGGGTATTCAGGGTAGCCTCCTGTATAAATAATGCTTGTTAGTAGCTGCATTTCACATCAGTAAAATGTACAGTTTGCCTCGATATACTCAATACAGAAGTTCCTCTTTAAAGCATAAAAAAATAAATAAATAAAAAATTATACAGTCCAATTACATAACTTTCCTAAACTATTTTATGTGACGAAACAATTTCAGTACATTAATAAATATCTAATATAAATATTTCACTGCTTACAGAATTTGAAAGCAACCAAGTTCATCAGCTTGTAACATGTGAAATAAATCAAAATAGATCTCTCTCTCTCTCTCTCTCTCTTTTTTTTTTTTTTTTTTTTTTTTTTTACTAACCCTAACTGTAAGGTTTTTCCATGCGCCAGTCTGTGCACTCTTCACAATGTTACCGAGGCCTTGAGCTACAGCACCCAAGTCAGCTGGGGAGGGTGGGACAAGCTCAACCTTGGCATAACGAACAAAGGTATTGAGCTTGGGGGTTGTCGACTCCACAGCAGCTGTAAGGAAAAAATACATTTGTGAATCACAATGGAATTATATTCAGGCACTTAAGGGGACCGTCCCGGAAAATGGCCACCTTTCCCTACTCTTTGCATCATAAAAAAATATCGGTTAGAGATATCTGATTGATTCTTTTTGCATGATATAGAGTAAAGAATTGCGCTCCGTTATATATACAAATTTTAACTTTGCTTCCCCATTGGGGGGGGGGGGCACCCCAAAAAAAGTTGAAAAAAATAGCTGGTTTTTTTTTGGGTATGTCTTCGGTACATCCAAACTATCACAGTTCTTCACAGAATATTCCCCCAAAAATACTTGTGTTAGATCAACCCTATCCTATAGCCATGTAAAAGGCCGAATTTCGAATTTCCTTTTTTTTTTTTTTTTTTTTGGCGGGGGACAGCTTGACAGAGAACTATTTTTTTTTTTTTTCAGCATTAAAATATTTTTTGATTAAGGCAAAAATTCAAAATCGGCCTTTTACATGGCCTTGGGACACCGAGGCTCTAGTGAAAGCAACAAACTGCATTTGAATCGCATGAAAATTACGTGAGTTGGGATGTACCGAAGATTCATAAAAAAATCACGGAGCTACAGCGTTTTGTATTTGGCCCCTTGCCAAAGTTTGTTATCTGTTATTTTTCTCTGAATCCAATGATATATATATATATATATATATATATATATAATATATATATATTATATATATATAATGCTTATTTAGTGTACTTTGCAATGCAATGATTACCAAGTCAATAGGAATTTTCATTTTCAATAGGGACACTATTCTGTAAAGGTCACTGGGTGTTTATAATTTTCAAGGAGGATATGTACGTAAACGCATGCACATAAAGTTAAAAAGATTAATTATCATCATTTAGTAGGCCAACAATAACTTTCACATCTAAATAATAAAATAATTATCCCTCTCATACCATTTTCTTTGGTAATTGTCAATATTAACAGATTGCAAAGGAGAACAAGTGTAGAGTTTATGATTATTCATTTGCACCCATTATCTTTACTAAGAAGTACATAAAATCAAGCAGACGCCTAGGTGTTGTGGGATATTTGCCAATTTATGGTGCCTAAGACTTACGGTAACGTCTAACATATTCATTTTTATCGGGAACGCACGAAACGGATGCGATAGCTTTTTGAACGCCAGACAAAGAATAGGTATTACTGAGTACTATCATCTTCAACATGAAATAATTTGTATCTCGCTTATACATCTGAAGTTTAAAAATCTGACATTTATGTAACATTCGTATTGAATTAGTCTTTACAACAGTAACTACCAATTTCAATTCAATTCAAATTGCCCCCTGCTGTGATGTACCGACCATTGAGCGAAATGTAACGGAAATATTTCAATGCTTCCTTATGAGGCTATTTTTAAACATTAGTGCTTCGTATGTGATATATGTACATATTACCTCGTGAACTAAAACATATTACCAGGGAGTCTCGATCAAAGCATATTTTGTGTGTAAAAGGACACGAAACTTGCTTTTTTTTTTTTTTTTATTTCACAAAATATTTCGTCATAAATCACGGTGATATAATTTTATCCTAATATTGGTATAAAAGTGTTCCTTGAACATTCACGAACTCATATCTATGCGCAATATCATAATTAAATGACGTATGCACGATTGCCGCAAGCAAAAGTCCACAAAGGTGTACCTGGGCACTCATTAGCGACGTACCTCTCCGGGTGCTGAGGGACTCGCGTGTCGACTGCAAGACAACAAGCCATAGCAGGCACTAAATACTCGTTTGGTAGTTTCCTCATCCATGTACCTATACTATACGCTAACCAACTCAATTTGACCCCCTTCCCCCCCGTCCATTTGGGACGGTCCCCTTAACCAATCACAAGACACCGTGTGTGGAACAGGTATTAATAGTGGTAGAGTAAAGCGAGTATAATGAATCTTTTGCCATCATGGATCTCAGGTGTGTCGGGTGTAACCCTCACTACTATAGTGTAATATCTGATTATTTTGAGAAAAATGATGCTATAGAATTCCTGTGAGAGCACAGTGTTTTGCCAAGCAAAATGTAATTCCCCGTTGAATTCTTTTTTTGTTGAAGTGGCATCATTATACCTGCCGCAAGGCGGGGATCAGCAGGACCAGCCCCTGCCAACCACAGTTCCTCTCGATGAGAGTACTTCTTCTGATAGTGAATGAAATTATGTAAGAAATGTAAATCTGTACTTAGATGTTTTATTTCCATTGTATACATATATATAAAACATTATTACGCCACAAAATACGTGTTTTCGTGAACTCCGACGCACATTTATTAAGAATCGGCGATATTAAATGAATCGTGTGTGAAAGGGTAAGACAGGAACACCATGCTTAAATAGCAATTACTGGCAAGGTAGCAATTATACTGTATGATAAACAGCGACAAATCCTGGCCAATGAAAACTGAGGAAAATGACATCAGTATTTCTTGACCAATCAGAACTCGCTATTTTCGGAAAGTGTGCAGCCGGGCAAAAAAAGCGTTTAGTGTCTGCTGTCAACTGTGTGAGAAGGGTTTGAGTGTGAAATATTGGAAAATATAAAGCCAGCTGATATGTTGATAAATCGCTATTTGCTTTTACCTGCAGAAAAACTATAACATCAACAATATCTGACGAAGTATACGGAGGTACGGCAATAGAAGGTTAGTAAAATTTAATAGATTATAACGAGAACCGGCGTATTACACACATTACATATTGCACGAATATAAATATATAAATAAATATATATATATATATATATATATATATATATATATATATATATATATATATATATATTTATTTATATACATAATATATATATATATATATATTATATATATATATATATATATATATATATCTTTATATTTATATATAAATAAAACATTTGCATGCTAGTAACTATTTCTTTACATCTTATTTTACAATAAACGCAGGCAGAAAATTACCAAACGCAGTATTAATGATGAATATTAAACGTTAAATTCTTTTGTCTATCGCCATTAAATCGGTGTACAATAACCACGCGCGCAATCAAATTGCCATAACGAATGGGACCAGGATGACGTTGTGGGCATGTCACGGAAAAACTTATGAAGGGTGGGTCTCAATCTCAATAATAATGCGTAGGGCGCTAAATGAGCGCGGGTGACAGAAAAGAATCGCAACAAGTGCACAAACCGGTAATTCGAAGTAAGACAGCCGCGCCTATTTTTCATTTTTTTCTTCTTCTATCCCCATCAATCTTGGGGGACCCGTGGGGAATCAGGGGTTGAAGGGGGGGGGGGGACACACAGGAGAAATAGTGAAATGAAAAGTGAAAATATTGAAAAAATCGAAAACCCAAGCCAAACTTCGTAATAAAAAAGATAAAGAAAGCGTAAAAATGAAAAACCCGAGCCAAGTTTCGTAATAAAGATAAAGAAAGCGTAAAAATGAAAAACCTGAGCCAAACTTTGTTATGACAAAGTGAAAGCATAAAATGAACAAATCGAGCCGAAATTCAGATTATCAATAAAAGAAAGGAGGAAATATAACATTAAAATCAAAATAGTTGATAAACATTAACTTTTTGTTCACCCATCGCTGCAAGATGCACCGCGTCGATGTCAGTGTTGCCAAAATGTCAAAGAAATTTCTTAAAGATCATTGCACAAACAAAGCATACCTTCCTAACCCCTTATCGGGGGCAAGCCCCCGGACCCCCTTCACTGAAGATATTTCGCCGTACGGACGTAGTATACCTTCCTAACCCCCTCCCGGGGGCAAGCCCCTGGACTCCCTTCCCTGAAGATATTTCGCCGTACGGACGTAGTATACCTTCCTAGCCCCCTACCGGGGGCAAGCCCCCAGACCCCCTTCCCAGGGGGTATTTCCCAACCGGGGGCAAGCCCCAGACAATTCCCTGGGGTATTACCCTACAGGGGGCAAGCCCCCGGACCCCCTTCCCTGAGGGTATTTCGCTGTACAGACGTAGTATACCTACCTAACCCCCTACCGGGAGCAAGCCCCCGGTCCCCCTTCCCTGGGGTATTTCCCTACTGGGGGCAAGCCCCCGGACCCCCTTCCCTGAGGGTATTTCGCCGTATAGACGTAATATACCTTCCTAACCCCCTACCGGGGGCAAGCCCCCGGACCCCCTTCCCTGAAGATATTTCACCGTACAGACAGTATACCCTCCAAATATACAGACAAAGTATTCCCTTATAACCTCCTACCGGGGGCAAGCTCCCGCACCCCCTTCCCCCAAAATATTTAGCTTACTTTATAGAGATGGAGGGTACAACTCGGCAGCAGCCAGCAGAAAATGGTGCAGCCGCTTGTCTCGGGATGAGCTTTAAAGAAAATCACTCTCGCGAGGTACCCAACAAAATGTGCTTTCCGGCAGTCAAATTGTGGAACTGTGCATTTTGCGTCCCTCCACTTCCTCTCAACATTATTTGTATGGGCGCCTGTTTTGGGATTGACAAAATTATGTGAATGATTAACTTTGAGGTGATTGAAGCCCTCTCCCTCTAGTCTATCATAGGCTTTCCAGCAGTCTGAAATTATTGTGGTCCCGGGTAGCACATAGTCTTTAATAATGGTAATCAGGGTGGCCGAGTCCCTTTTTTCAACGGGGACAAAAAAAAAAAAAAGGTCTTTACTTTCACGGCAAAAGCCACCAAACACCCACTGGCCCTCTATTACACGCCCTACATTGTATTTTCTCTTGCCGAATCTACTTTTATCAATTTCGACCATTTTTCCTGGGCCCCCAATCAATGCTCTGTTTCACATACACCAATATATAAGCACTTCCCCACAAAAACTTGACCACTCATTCATTGAGTTGTCACTAATTTTCAATTCATTTCTAATTTGTTCATAGGAAAATCCTTTCCTTAGAAATAAATTACAAAATCGTAAATTACTTTCAACGTCTAATTTTGATTTATCAAACCAGGTGCCTTTAAAAATTGTTCAGGA